AACCCTGGTCAGACCTCATCTGGAGTACTGTGTTCAAGCATGGAGCCCATATATGCAGAAAGATAAGGAAGTTTTGGAAAAAGTACAGCGTAGAGCCACAAGAATGATTAGAGGAATCGGAAAAATGGAATACGATGAGAGATTGAAAAAATGCAACTTGACATCATTGGAAAAAAGAAGGTGTAGAGGAGATCTAATCCAAACATATAAATAGGGAAACAACACCATACTCGAGATTTTTCAGGCTAGTAAACAGTGATTATCTACGAGGACACAGATTTAAGATTTTCAAAAACTCGGATGGAAAAATAAAGAGCAGATTCTTCAGCAGTAGAGTGGTCAACGCCTGGAACGAGCTAAGCGATGATGCAGTCTCTGCGAATTCACTCAACTGCTTCAAAGCCAAACTCGGACAGATAGGATATCAGGAGATCTAATTAGTAGTGGTTCTTACACAGACCATAGTCTTCTGAACCAATTTAAACCCCGTTAATAATAATAATAATAATAACCCCGTAAATATCAAAATAAATTAGAAAATTATTTGAGTCCAAGATTGGTGTAATATTAAATATGTTCCCAACCTTTGTCAAGTTCAAATTGAATGAAAAAATGTCTAAAAATTTATAAGGTTGCTGGGCGGTGTCAGATAGAGTTTTGTTGGTCAAAATACACGCAAAACCTTTCAACCTAGCTGTTATTCAAGTTTATGCGCCAACGTCTGAAAGCTGTGAAAAAGACCTTGATACTTTTTACAATGATCTTGATGATGCTTTAAGAACATGTAAATTTCAAAAAGTTGTTATTTGATGGGTGACTTGAAAGTTGGCTTAGAAAAAATACATGATGTGGTTGGTTTTTACGGGATAGGTAAAAGAAATGAAAGAGGAAAAAAGTTGATTGAATGGTGTATCACAAATGATCAACTTATTACTAACACCTTGTTTTACAATCACCCAAAAAGAAGTCTTGAAAAAGTCCCGGAGACAAGGTAAAAAATATAATTGGTTACATTACAATAAATAGAGAATTTCAAAAAGGTGGTTTGCATTGCAAAAGTTACCCTGGAGTTGATTGTGACAGTGATCATAACCCAGTTGTTTGTAAAATCAGGATGAATTTAAAGAAAATTGAAAGTGAAGTTGCTCCAAAACGTTTGAATTTTGTCAGTCTTTCACAAAATGATGAGATCAAGGTCAAGTATAACGTTGAAGTACTGAATCGTTGTCAGTTATTGACAAAAGATGTATATAAACTTAAATATGAAATATTTAAAGATGCCCTCAAAGAATCAGCAAAAAATGTTATACCTGTGAAGAAAACAAGAAAAGGTCATAAATATATAACAGATGACATCGTATCTTTGATGGATGAACGAAGGAAAGTAAAATGTTGCAATCCTGCTAGTTACAAAAAGCTGGACAAAACCATCAAAAAATATGCTTAGAGGCAAAGGAGAAATGGTTAAATGACAAGTGCGAAATCATTGAAAAGATCAAAAACGGTAATACAAATGCAATGTATAAAAACATCAAAGAAATCACTGGAAATAGAGCTTGTGCCATTTCTGGATGCATAAAAGCTAAATCCGGTGAAGTAATCTTAAAGAAAGAAAAAGTACTTAAAAGATGGACTGAATTTATTAACGATCTTTTTGATGATATCCGTGGTGTAAAGCCTCCTATTAAAAAAAAACGTAGAAGGACCAAAGATGCTTAGATCTGAAGTTCGTGCCACTCTTTCCAAAATGAAATCAAATAAACCGCCAGGTCCAGATGAGATAGTTGTTGAAGAAATTAAAAGCCTTGATGAATTTGGCATTGAAAAAGTGACAGAAATTTTGAATGACATTTACAACAGCGACAAATTCCTGAAGATCTATCCAAGTCAATATTTATTACGTTGTCTAAAAAACCTAATGCAACAGAATGTGAACTACATCGAACAATCAGCTCGATGAGTCATCTTACAAAACTTTTCTTGTGAATTCTGATGACGAGAACACGAAGCAAAATCAGATCTGAAATTTCAAATATCCAATGTGGTTTTGTAGAGGATTGTGGCACAAGAAACGCTATCTTTATGCAACGAATGGTCAGTGAACTAGCGATTGAAATGAAAAAAAGACTTGTTTATATGTTTTGTCTATTACTCCAAAGCTTCGATAGCGTGAAACATGTGGAGATTATGGTAATATTGGAAAATTTGGACATTGATGGAAAAGACACGAGAGTTATCATAAACCACTATTGGAAAAAAGAGCAGCGATGAAAGTTGGTAATAAGTATACTAGTTTTGTTGAACTAAAGAAATGTGTTAGACTAGGCTGTGATTTCTCTTCGGACCTTTACAATCTTACTCAGAGAGCATCATGAAAAAAATAGATCTACCTGGAATATCCATTGGAGTGGTGAATATTAACAATGTAAGTTATGCTGATGATACAGCTCTTTTAGCAGATTAAATAGAAAAACTGCAAACAATTAAGTATACTAGTTTTGTTGAACTAAAGAAATGTGTTAGACTAGGCTGTGATTTCTCTTCGGACCTTTACAATCTTACTCAGAGAGCATCATGAAAAAGATAGATCTACCTTGAATATCCATTGGAGAGGTGAATATTAACAATGTAAGTTATGCTGATGATACAGCTCTTTTAGCAGATTCAATAGAAAAACTGCAAACAATTGTTTCCAAACTGGTTTTTGAAAGTGAAAGGAAAGGTATGCAAATTAACATTAACAAAACAGAGTGCAAGGTTATCAGTAAAAGCAAAACCGCCCCGATCTGATCCATAATCATTAATGAAAGTGAAACAAGTCAACAGCTTCAATTATCTCGGAAGTCTGATTACTTCAGGTTGTAAATGTGATATGGATATCAAAAGAAGGATAACTATGGCAAAAGATGCATATTCTAAAATGAAAAACATCCTCACAAACAGTAAAATCAGATCATCACCATAATAAAACTGTTAGGGTGTTACATTTTTTCGGTGCTAACTTACGGCTCTGAGTCCTCGACAATTTCTAAAGAGATGGAAAAAAGATTAACGCTGCTGAGATGTGGTTTTTGAGAAAAATTATGAAAATTAGTTGGACTTCGAATGAGGATGTATTAAAACTGTCCGGTTATGAAAAGAGGAAATTACTACAGATAATCAGATGGGGGCAGTTAAATTTTTTTGGTCACATCATGTGGAAGGAAAGAATCTAACAATTGCTTAAAAGATTTCATCGAAAAGAGATCGCGGTGAACAACAAAACATTCGTGAAGTCCTTGTGTCACTTGTTGAATGTCACCACATTTCAACTACTACAAAGTATTAAAGATCGGGTTTTGTGGAGGTCGATGGTCAATGTGTCTGAAAGGATAAGGCACGAGAAAGAAGAATAAAGTAGAAAGATCATCGATAATCTCAGGCAAGCAATTGACAATGTCCCTTTTTTATTAGGCACATCACAATAAGATATATTGAGAGTTGAGACAAGAGAGTGTAGCAAAGAAATACAACAACGAGACTCAGACTCAATTAGTTAGATAATATTGTATTAAGACTGGCAATCAACCAACCTGCCGCTTAGCATCTTTCAAAGAGATAGAGTACAAGGAGTGTGGTAACTCACACGTGAAGTAATCCAAAAAACAAAGTGGCCACAAAATTACTTGACAGTAGCTGCTATTAAAAAAGCTATTTTTTTTACAAATTGATCAAATTTCAGTACATACAATTTTAGTAAGCATGATAAAAAATATAAACTACAAAAAATATTAACATGTTTTCTTGAATTTTCTTCTGCCTCAAACGTTTTTTAATTTCCATCACCAATTCATTTGATCTTGGTGGTGGCTCGGCATACTTAAAAGTCGGCATGCATTTGGAAAAAAATTGTTTAAATAGATGAATATTTTTGTTCAATCAAAATTTTCTTGATGTTTTGTTTTACAAAGTAAAATATATTTTTTATGATTACTGAGTTGAATTAAATTGTTGAATTAATAAACTATTAATTTATAATAAATAGATGAGCATATTAAATTCAGTTACTTGTAAAACTAATGTGTCCCAAAATCACATCAAATGATTTGATGAATTCGTGATTTTATCAAATTTTCAGAAATATAAATAACAAGAATCTTATTACAGAAATATTATATATATATATATATATATATATATATATATATATATATTTATATATATATATATATATACAACACAGGGGTCGACTGCGATCATCCAACCATGGTGACATGGTGATTACAAAATTTAAATCCTCTAATTTTGGGAAAAGATTTTCAGTTTCGGCTGCTCATATTTGGAATGCGTTTCCTGTTAATTTGAAAATATTCAATATCATGAGCCGAGGCGACTTCAAAAAACGTCTGAAGAACTTTATGTTCAATTTAACGCAGCGAAGGAAATAAAGAGAGCGCTTCTGAAGTAAACTCATAAGAAGCGCTATACAAATTTTGCAATACAATACAGTAAAATACAATAGTTGTAAAACAACACTTTGGTATTTGAGTTTAATATTTTTCTTGTAATTTTTATTTGGTGTGAATCCATTAGATGATTTTTTTGCACCATTTTGTGTATGCATTGTTAACCTTCTTGATAAAGCCGTAGTAGTAAACCCGATATATTCTCTGTTTCGGTGCCTACAATCAAAAGAATATACTAGATGACTGCTCTTCATAATCGATTCTGGTTTAGTATCACAATTATTTTTAAGAACAAAAGATGAAGTTTTGTTGTTCATGTAATAAATCTTAAGTTTTAATTTATCATTTTCATTGATAGTTTTTACATTACCGTTTATTATTTTCTCATCGGTCTTATAAGCTTTAATAATAGAAATCAAATAGAATTCAAACGCAGCGGTTGGTGATTGTCTATCTTCTGATAACGAAGTCGAAACACCAGATGACTTAACAGAATGAATAATTTTGCAACTGTATCTGTAAAAAATTTCATAAAATCACAAGCTGTATGACTGATATTTGCATCCGATAAGTTATCACTTCGATTATTGCATAGAATTTTATTAATAATTCGCCACCTGTCCCTCTGGCTGCTACAAGTTCTGATCAAATTGTTCCAATACCCAGTGCGTTTATCTGAATATAATTTATATTTTGCTTTCAATGAACCAACCCAACTTTCACGGTGCACACTTGACAAAGTTCTTCTGTACAGTCTCTCAAACATTCTACAATATCGTTTGGCCCGTAAGCAATCATTATCAAACCAAGAAACATTGCTATCAAATCTCTTGTAAATCACTCGCAGAGGCACACATTGGTCAACAATGCTTTTTAATTCGTTATTGAACAATTTAATTCATTTTCAACATTTTCCCTTTTACATGGACCAGATATTGGAGAATTTGTAATTGTTTGAATAATCTTATTTTCATTCGCATGTCTCCATGATCTGACTCAGTTTGGTTTTAAAACAACATCAATGAGCAATTGATGCCTCAACCTTTACAAAAATAGGATCCGAGAATATTCCACTTAGAGATACTTCAACTCCCAGAATCGGAAAATTGCTGGAACTAATGACCTGGTCAAGAATACCACCTAGCACATGAGTTGGTTCGTGTACATGATTGATCATTTGAAATGCATCAAGTATTTCATTCAAGCGAATTGTGTGTAGATCATTAACTCTTTCAATATGCACGTTGAAATCTCCCATTATCAAAATATTGGCGTTTAACATCGTAAGATATTCTAAGATACCCATTGATTGAAAATCGAATAGCAATAGCCTCAAACGTGTCAAATATTGGTAAGACAAACTTTTTATAACCAAAATCTTTACGAAATATACAATCAAGCCACCGTGACCTGGATCGTGCTGCCTAGCATAATCAACATACCAGAACCCGGGCGGCATAGCCAACCGAACAAAATTATTACCAGCCGTACCATGCCAAGTTTCAGTGAGCACCAAGACATCCAGCCCATCACATATCAAACCATGAACACCATTTATATTAGACGCAATTGACCGCACATTCAACAACCCAATCCTCATTTTATTTTGAATTTTACCATCAATACTTTTTTCCACAAAACACAAGAATGATTTTTAATCTACCCAATTATACCATATATAGAACCACGCCTACCATTTGCCAATTCAATTATTTCTCCTTTCGAAACCGCACTATTTTCCACCTTCCTACCTCCCCTTTCACCCGATATAAAAAAAAACCTTCCTTGCATCCCTCCTCCACCACTCTGGCTTCGTTGAGCAACTTTTTAAGTACAGCTTTTTGATCGATACTGAGATCATGGCTTAATCTAGCACAGGCCAAATCACCGTTCAGTGACTTCATTTTTCTGATGCCGTTGAAAACAAGTGACTTTGCTTCAATATTATTAAATTTAATCAAAATTGGTCTAATAACGCTGTCATTTTTTTTGCCCAGCCTCATCAGTTTCAGAACATTTTTTTCAAATGATCGATTATTTGGCAAACTCTTGCTTTGTCATCTGGTCCCTCCTTCAATCTGAATATTATTACATTAGATTCTCTTTCATTATTATCCACAACATCCTGAAACTTTTTCTGAACATTTTTCACGTCTTGATTAATTGATTGAACGCTTTTTTCCATTTCGCCACTAACAACACTGGCAAATGATATACCCAATTCAGACTTTAAGTTGGCGATCTCACCAGAAAGCCAAGAACCAGATGTGTCCATCTGCGTAAGTTTGTTCTCGTTTTTATCAAAAATAATGGCTCTAATTGCAGCAACCTCAGATACGATTGTTTTATTCATATCATTCAATTTTTTTATTTCTTCTCTTATCTCTGAATTGTGACTTTCAAATTTTTTATAAACTGTTTCTTCACGGGCATTTTAGTCAAACAAGCGTCGCAAAAAAATTTTATGTTGTTGACTGTTTTGATGAAGTCGTAATTCTCCTCAGTCACTCCAGCCGGAAGGGGAAACAAGGTATAAAAACATCGTAGGTCAAATTTGAATTTTCCTTGGTAGTTTGTAAAGTCAAATTTGGATTTTCTTTGGTAGATTTTGTGGTATTTTTTTGATTTTGTCACTCATAATTCCGTAACCCAAAGTGACCAACGTCAACAATACAATGTTTAAAACAACTTTTAAATTCATTTAAGAATAAATTGTGTTCAACTAATTGTATAAGTCAATTTTTAAGACAGTAATTTAACTCCCCAGGTTATATATTCAACAATACTTACTGTTAAATAATTGCTTTATGAATTTATTATGCATAATTAACTACTCTTAGCGATCAGAAAATTTTTCTCTAAACTCGCAATACTTTTGCACGGGCTAATAACTTCTACAAATATGCTGATCTTTTCCAAGTTACGGAAATGCTTTTTATTATGCAAAGGTCTATATATTTTATTGTATATATGTGGCTTATAGCATATATAAGTAAGCACAAGCTACAAATAATATTATTCAGGGGCGGATCTGTGGGGGCCATAACCCTCCCTGTTGTGAGCAGCGTTTATAATAAAAGTCAGTAAAACTCAGTTTTCAAGTTTTCAAACAGGAAAACACCTTTTAAGTACAAAATCGGCCAAAAATAGGTCATCATCCTGTTTTTAGTCACACTACCGAACATTTGATTAATTTCTTGGACCCAAGTAAAATTTCAAAATTTTAAAAATTTTACTGCTCCCATCAACGTTGTCTAGATCCGCCAAGAACACTAAATGACTCACAGCCAAAAATTTGCATGCTTCGATGAGAGGCATTGTGGCCAACTCTTCGGGCGAAGGAGTTACTTTCCAATTTTTGTCTTTTCCTCCTCGACGTTTTGTCAATAAAACTTCCGTTTTCAAAGCCATTTCAATTAATTTTTCTAATGTTGAAACTGCCTATATGTTACGTGTGCTAAATTATAAAATAAATTCAATAAAATTTTCATTTATACCCTCAATACACTAATTTGGTTTCATTGATAATTTTTTTAAATGTTTACTATAAAATTTGTAACCCTTAAATAATTGATATATTTACATAAAAATTCATCCAATAAACAAATTACGTATATGTTTTTATCTATTTAAATTTCGCCGATGATTTGGACGACTGAAATATCAATTAAGTTTGATATCCATATGAAATTTTTTAAACGCCCCGGTTTACGATCGTCTTCTTCTCGCTTTTTCTTAACTCGTGTTAAACACTCTTTTGCCAAATCTGCTTTTGCTTTTTCTGGTCCTTTTCTCTGGAACTCTCTATCTACTTCTCTGACTACTTCTCCATCACTTGCGAAGTTCAGAGCGGATCTCAAGACCCATCTGTTTTCAAAATTCATTGAGGAGCGCTGTTGAACATCGCGGAAATAGCGCTTTATAAGCTAATTGATTGATTGAAACAAAAATTGTTTTTGATTTTACTGTCAAAATAATAATTATAACTTATGCACTCAACTCTTTATACATATACATTAATGTAATTGAGAATAAACGAAATTAAATTGACTTTTAAAACTTGTTTCATATTCATATAAACTTATAAAAAACATTTTGTTTTTTGTTCCTACCATTTTGACCCAACATTGTTAAAATGTAAATTGAAATAAGCCGTAAAAAATTTCGTCTAATGTGGCCAGATAGTTTTTAAGAAAATGAAAAAAAACGATTCATCCTATCATTGTACACAACAGGTATTGTTCTATACAGCAGTTTCTGTTCAGATCTAGCATGACACCTGTGGAAACTGTGTCGCATGATGTTCCAGTTGGGTCGGTTCTCGGCTCTCTCCTGTTTGTGTTGTACACTGCCGACGTTTTCAAAATCATCGACAGATATAATTTCATACATCACGGTTTTGCCTAAAAATATTCAGATCATTGCTAAAGCCCCCTTTGTTGTTTTATTGATCTGGTCTGTCTTTCGGAAATTAATTAGTGGATGATGGCAAATAGATTTAAGTTAAATCATTCTAAAAACTCAGTTTTTACCGGCTGGCACTAGGCAGCAATTGGAAAAAATGAACATTAAGTCTATCAGACTTGAGCGATTCTGACATTGAATTTTGCACATTTGCACGCATCCTGGGATTTATTTTTAATAACAACATGCATTTTAACGTTCACACCAGGGCAGCTTCAAAATAATTTTCCGGTCGATTGCGTAGGCTTATGCTCATCAAACGGTTTATAAGAGAGTTATTTTTAAGATATTTTTAACGATTTTTAAATGTATTAAGAGTGTCGCATCTAGATATTTAACCGACAGAGTCATTCCTAGAACAATACCACTACTGAGTCAAATACTGCGCTCTGACAATTCATGTTTACTGTTTGTACCTGACATAAAATTAGCTTGTGGTAGTAGAAATTTTTCCGTAATGGGTCCTGCTGTCTCAGAGGCGTAGCTCGGGGGGGCTGGAGGTACATATGTCTTCTGGCGCCAAATACAGGGGGCGTCAGAATGATGCTGACAAAATTTTCAAAACAAGAGTAAAAATCTTATCACGAGCAAAAAAAGTTATTTATTTACAAAAAAACTATACAGTCAAAATAAACGATACAAATCAAAAATATGAAGTATTAGTAAATTAATAATAAATGTCGTAATAAACTTCGACTTCCCATAACAACGCTACAATTGAAATAAAGAGCACCAACGCCACCGGTACAGGTACACACTGTTTCCACTTAAAAAGTACTGTTTTGAATTTGGTTTAAAAGTAAGCAAAGACGTAGAAACGGCTTAAACTCATGGATATATATTATATATATATATCCATTCTTAAATTCTTTTAAAGTGTAAGCTGTATTTTATAAAGTATTATTTTATCGTATCTACGTGCATCAATGGAACAAGATCGTCTCAGTGTTCTTGCCCTTCCCAATGCTGAAAGAGAAACATTGGAAATGACAGATTTGAATAACAAAATTGATCAGTTTGCGACAATGAAATCTAGAAAAATGAATCTATTGTAAACTATATAAATAAATTATCTTTGAAAGTGACTGAATCATATGTTATAATTTGTATATTTATGTTTTATCTTTAAATACAATATTCCATTAAAATTTGAATTGCTTTAGTAAGCAGTAACTTTTACAATGTTGATGTAATAAAAATTGCGATTAGACATGGAGAGGGGGCGCCAATTTTATAGTTTGTTCCCGGGCGCAAAATACCCTGGCTACGCCTCTGTGCTGTCTGGAATGGTTTGCCTAGGGATCTTAGTCATTCTGCATTGTCTGTTGTTCAGTTTCGTAAAAGGTTGAAAAACCATCTTTTGGCCCAAGCTTACTCGTGCTAATGTTTATCCATTCATTGCATTGCCTTAATAAAATTATGTACTTCTATAATCGTTAGCTGCTGTAGCCTGATCTAACGCTGATTAATTTACATATTGCCTTAAGAAATTTTAGGGTGTTGGGGTCCATCGGGTCGAGAACCTCGATACATATTGGCAAAAATTCCATCGTTTTCATATTTTTTCATTTTTTCGTCCGCTGCCCTGGCTGCGGCCAAACCACATTCTTTAATTATCAGATTTACATATCGTTCGGCAAGGGTGCCAGGGACCGTAACGTTCTACGTCAAACATCTACCGGCTCTCCAAGCTGCTAGTGTGCATCCATCGGGGCGCTTACCATCGTGCACTGAAATGCCGGATGGTTCCTTGAAAACTGGAATCGAAGCCTTAGAGAAGAGACGGTAAATGTAGTCGTTTAATTCTGAGTGACGTAGTTGACGGTTGTATTATTATTGTATTATTGTTGTTAAAATATATATAGCGCTAATTATAATTAAAAATTTTCATCAGCACTCCATGTTCATACAATAAAATAAAACAACTTAATTTATAACAATGATTTAAACAAGTATGTCTTTAGAAGTCTTTTAAATAGCGTTTGTCCCGATTGACGAAGTTCATCTGGCAGTCTATACCAAAAAGTTGGTCCTGAAACGGCAAAATCTCGATTACCAGTTTTCAAATTTGTTTTTGGTACACGTAATTTATTTGAACTGGAAGGCCTCAGTTGCCCATGAGTTCCCAGGGAAGAAATTTGTTTGTATTTATCCGACAGGTACCTAGGTGCAAGATCAGTTAGGCATTTGAACACCATTGCCCCCAATTTGATAAGGTATCTTTGCTTTATAGGCAGCCAATGCAACCCATAAAATTGGGAAGGCATGGTCAAACCTTAAACCACCAACAATAATCTTCGCAGCCTGATTTTTAGCTATCTGCAACTTCGAAATCCATTTAATAAATGCATACATCAGTGACTTGAGAGCATCTTTGTTTAAAAACTTTCTTATTTGACGAATCTGGCGCAGTTTGAAAAATCAATTCTTGACCAATTCTGAAACATTTGGGCCCATTGTCGATTTCAAGCCTAAATTTGTAACAGGAAGACTGTTATGTATGTATGTATATATGACTTTTATGTATGTATGTATGTATGTATGTATGTATGTATGTATGTATGTATGTATGTATGTATGTATGTATGTATGTATGTATGTATGTATATATGTATGTATGTATGTATGTATGTATGTATGTATGTATGTATGTATGTATGTATGTAGGTATGTATGTATGTATGTATATATGTATATGTATATATGTATGTATGTATGTAAATTGTTTATATATAACGTGATTGCGTGTGTAAATGTCATTACAAACGTTTGTTAAAAAACCGATTGTTGTTTTGTTTCGCGCGTGCGAGAAGGTATTTTTAAGGTTTCAGTTTTGAATTATGTTTTCATTTATTTTACCTTTTTTATTTATTAATTAAGCAATTCATTTTATTTGTCTGCTTAGTTTGTTGGGTTTGTTGTGTTTATAGTAAAAACTAAATAAAATAGTATAATTATTTATTATACTAATAACTAATTATATAAAACTGATAAGTGATAAATAACACCCAAGGAACAAGACCTACCACTTCTAAAAGTTTTAATTTAAATTTTAAATTCAAAGTGTATACTACAAAGACAAATAGGAGATAAAAAGGTATTGTTCAAATAAAATAATTGTAAAATATGGTTAAATATAACATTGTAATGTAATGTAGTGAATGTTTTATTATTAGAATGGGTTTTTTTTTAATAACAACTTTTTAATTTAATTAAAAATTAATTAAATTTTTCATTTTTGAGTTTAAGGCCTTTCTTAATTTTTGAGTTTAAGGCCTTTCTTAATTTTTAGAGGGTTATCTATCTGTTTTTTATCAGTATCTTTATTTATGTAAATGTGAGAGGTTTTATTAAAATAAAATTTTAATTAAATTAATAAATTAGGTTTAAAAACTGAAACATTTATTAAAATTTTTATTTAATGTTTGTTAAAATTTACTTATCCTTATACTTAATCTTAATGTCTTTAAAACTTGAACTGAATTCTATCACTCATTTTCAGTTCAGGATTAGTGTGAGTTTGAAAATCATATCATAAATTTCTTGGTTTTCCTGACTGTAAAAGCTAAACTAAACTGACACTTAACACTTTTAATAACAGACTTCACTCTGAAAATTAAGCTTCACAATTGGTTTTTTTAAACTGTTTTATAAATTCATTGTTACACTTCATTTATTTATTTAAAATTTCAGTGGGCTTGCTTTTCAACAAAATTTTGCAATAGTAACCTCTTGCAGTTGGGAAACTTTTCTGGTTTCAGGTCATGTCATCAATTTTTTAACAACACTAGCTCAGCTTGGTCTTTGTCTTTCTTGTATTTCTATCCTTTCAGTTACTGATGTCCAGCATTCATTTCTGCCAATCTATTTTCACCTTATCCTCTTACATTTCTAAAGCACTGAAACTGAAACGTCTGCATGTTTATTTTACATTATATTTTATATAAAGTGTCTCATATGTTAGATGTTAGATGACATCATTAGCAAGTGATTATACATTATATGATGCAAAAATTGGTAAAGTTTCAGTGTCTAATATTAATTACTTCAACTATTAACAACCAATATATTTACTTTGTGAATTTTTTAAATCATTTTTTCATTATATTCTACCTGCTTGTTTTGTTACAGATTCTAGTAAAAATCAAAACTTGTTGATAAATTCATTACTTTTAAAATAGTTGATTGATGAATACATTTGTTGTCCTGGTTATGACATTAAACTGACCCTCACTGCCTTGTGAGTGATGTTGGATCATCAAAGGCTAGGCCCACCGCTTATAACTGTGGTTGCGTAAGGAAGGGCGTCCTGCATAAAAATTAGCCAAATAAATTACTTATGATGGAATGGCGTCGAGGGGTATTTCGGTTTCATCATAGGTAGCCAAACGGCAACCCCCGAAAATCGGGGAAAATGTCGTCTAAACGTGTGTTGTTGTTGTTGTTGTTGTTGTTGTTGATGAATACATTTGCTTGCAAAATGAGAGCATGTGTCATACACTTAGTCATTGCCTATCTTTTTTATTTCTTTCTTTATTATTTAATTTTACCCTTATGGTTTTGTAAATCTAAATTATTTTACGCATTTCTCTTTTTATATTACTAATTAAAACAGAATCATGGCAGAAAATATGGATGATGTTGTTTGGAAGAGTTTACCTCCTGTTCCTAAGGGTGTTAAGCCATTGGATCACCAAGTTGCTGGCCATGTCTTTGGTAGACCCAATGGTCAGAAACAAAATCAGTTGGGTTTGTAGTCTTTTAATATTTATGTATTTTTAATATCCAACACTTGTTAATACATTTTTGACAGGCTTCTTACAAAATGATGAAGGACAAATTTTGAAGCCCATCCAAGGACCTATTAAAGGGAAAAGAGAAGCTGAATTTTATAGTCGACTGTTTGATAGTGAATTGGCAATTTCAGAACTTATCGAACTGAGAACATTTGTTCCTAAATATTTTGGTCAATGGGTTACTGAGGAACATCCTGGGTGTTAGCATTCAATATTTTACTAGAGTTTAATTTTACAAATCATTCCATTATTTATATTTACGTTTACTACTATTGTGTCAGAGTAATGGAAAATTAACATTTTATATGAAATGATTTGCACATAAAGGCACATACTTGATACTGGAAAATATAACCCACACCTTGAAAATTCCATGCATAATGGACATCAAAATTGGACCAATTACTTATGATAAATATGCTGATGAAAACAAGATTTCAAGTGAGAAAAAAAAATCTCCATTCCTTGAAAAACTTGGATTTCAAATTCTTGGCATCAAAGTAACACTTTTTTATTTACTTCTTTCTTCAACCCATTAAAAAATATTTTTGTCTTTCTCAAAAAGGTGTTTTCTACAAAAATCAAAGATTATATAAAATTGGACAGATATTTTTTAAGAGCTTTGGATGAAACTGCAGTTTTAGAGAAAGGTTGTCAGTTGTATATGATTCATAAAGCATTGCTTTAGTTTAATAAAAAAAATTTCGTAGGTCTTAAAGTTTTCTTCAATCTCCATGAGCCATTTGGTTTCTATTTGGTAAAGACATTTTTGGAAAAGCTTTCAGATGTACAAAACTGGTTTTATCGTCAGAAGAAGCTATATTTTATTGCCAGTTCTTTATTATTTGTGTATGATGCAACAGTATTTGAATTATTAAATCCTGAATCTAGTTCAGATATGGTTATGCAAGCCATAAGGAGTAATTCAAACCTTAAAATGATTGATTTCACACATGTTTTTGATTTTGAGACTGAAGATGGCAGAGATGAAAACTATATTACTGGTCTCAACAGTCTGGTTAAATTTATGGAACTTGTTCAGAAATCTTAATGCAGGTTTCAACCAAGAAAAATCAACAATGCAATTTACTGGTTGTTTTATATTTTATCATTTGTACATCTATTTAAAGTAATTTGGTTTTTGGATGCTGCTGGTTAATGTTCTTTATTTAAGTTGTAGCACAGGCGTTCTATTATTATATGCTTTGGTTAAAATGTTTTTTTTTCAACAAAGAAGTTGAAGTTCTTGCTGAAAGCTTCATTGCATTATTTGTTTAAGTATTTTAATTTAATTTTTTAAGTAATAGTACATATTAATTTTTGATCTGTATCCATGTTTTTTTTCATCTAGATAATTTTTAAATTCCATTCTAAGTTACGATTTCTTAATATATAAATTAACGCAAAAATGATGAACATAGCTGGACTTAATATAACTTTAAATTTAGTATTACAAACAATAGTCATTTCGCATATATCAACATTTTTTTAGTCCCATCTTCTCCATATCTTTGTTGATATTTTGTATTTCTCATTTTTATACATTAATTTTCATTGCACATTTGGATTTGTGTTTAAATAATTAATTGAATTGTTTAGTTAGTATTTGTTAGCCTTTTAATGGTTAGGATCAATTTTCATACACGCACAGTGCGTCTGCATAACAAGATTTGTAAATTATTTCTAGTTCGTGCAAAAACATTTTCTACTTTTCAAAGTATTTAAATTATTATTTGTCTGCATGTGTATTCGTTTAGTTGTTTTTTTGTATTTGTTGTTATGTTTGAATATTTAACTGGTGGTTATTTTAATGAACATTCGTGATATGGTATGCTTGCATTTAAAAACTAATTCATTTCTAATTGTTTATTAAGTGCGCTGTACATATACCCATCTTTTTTATTTCTAAATATGTTTGCTTCATGTTCAACATAATTATTAAAGTCGTGATCTATGAATTATGCTTTGTTATCAAATTATATGAATATTTTCATTAAAATTTTTAATTATAAATGTCGTGTTTTATTTATGAATTTCTGTTCCTGGTTCGACATCAATATTATTTTACCACGTGTATATTTAATCTCAACAATATCGTTTGTTTTCGCATCTCTAATTTCCGTCCCCGCGCTTTCATGAGTTTCAAAGATACGGTAGTTTCTTCAGAAGGTTCAAAGCTCACCCGGCAGAAAGTTCCTTGCTGGCTGTGATGCTTGATAACAAAACGCAGTTTATTTTGCATTTTGAAATTTGGGAAAATGTTTTGTGAACGAGTTTTGTCCGTTGAATACACAGCAAACAAGCCACCTTTTGACCCACACTTTTGTAGATTTAAATTTCCATGCTAAATCCATCTTTCAGTTATAGATTTTGTTTCGGTTCTGTTTGCGGTTACGTTTGATAGACAGTTGTCACTACCAAATTTATCAATTTGTTGTTGCAACTTATTAGGCTTGCAATCATTGTTAAGTTAATTATTGAGCAAAAACGAATCAATACAATCGAGATCAGTGCTTATACTAAGTCAACAGCGGAACACTTTATACATATATGGCTGAGAACAATTCAGATGAAATACCGATCACCGATGTTTCGGTTGGGTATTTCGATGTTTCGGTTCGGTTGGTTATATATATCCATGGTTGGGTGATATTGTTTATAACCAGTTAGGATTTGGATTAATTTTACTCATGTGAATTACAAATTATGAATATATGGATTAAGACTGTCAGAAATGCAATTATTGATAAAAATCACAGCAAGTTCGGCGCTAGTTAACTTCCAATTTAACTTTTCGATTTTTCTAACGGTTGATCGTAGATCATTTTTAAGTTTTTTTAGTTCAAAACCAAAATTTGATTATTTTATACAGAATTTTTCTGTATTCCTATACCATCTTCGGTGTTCAAATTGATATGTTGTGGTTGTGCTCAGATGCTCAATTATTTTTATACTGTGCCTATTTCCGAGGAACCAATAAATGTGTGCTATATGTGTTTAATATATATATATATATATATATATGTGTGTGTGTGTGTGTCTGTGTGTAATAAATTCCACCGATTTATTAGTGTTTATCAACTTATATTTGAATTTTTCAATTTGTCTTAATAAATTTTTATAAAGAAATTGAGTCTGCTTAAAATTGAAACTTTGTTTTTATTAACAAACATTTTATTAAAATTATTGCAGATAGATCTATTTCGACGTTAAACCGTCATCGTCAGTACATTATTTATTAATTAATATTATTATAGTTTTAATATTATTAAAAATATATACAAATAAATTCGAAAAAGAAGCATGAAATTCTAATGAAAAATTTTAACAACGAAAAATTTGAATTTTCCTTTGCATAATCCACTTGGTCAATTAGAACGTACTTGTTTGCAATGTCCAACTACCTAGTCTGAGTATATGAAATACGGCAACTAAACCTCGACTCGAAAGGTAGAGTTGTGAGGGTATTGATCGACAGTGCAGCAGTTAATCAAGAAATAGATGATTTCATCGATGCTATTTTATTACTAAATGTGCTAGTTGTAATGAAAAATGAGGAGAACGCAAACATTGTTCAATATTTGGACAATGTAAACAGAGGAGGTCTCATAAAAACTAAAGAGTGCATTCACAACTTGTTTACGTTGCTGGAAAATATTCTGAGTTATAAAAATTCAGATATAGCGCTGAAGATGTTTTTAAAATCCTTCAATCAAAATAAATCGTTTTCGACAATCACGGACAGATTCGCACTGGATGGTGATATTATGATTGAAAATATGTATTGGGCATTCAATTATGACGTCGAAGAAATGATTTGTGGACAATTTTTAAATGCATGCATGTCAAAAAAGTTGATTAAAAACATCAATAAAAATGCCAATGTTAAAAATTAACTGTTTAGAAAATAAAAATTGAGCAAATTTAATTATTAAAATTTAATTAACAATTCTAGAGCCATTCAATTGATAAGGAAATAATTTATTTAAGTTGTTATTAAAATATAATTTTATCATTTGTTAAGCCTGTTGCATTATTTTTTGATGAAAAAAATTTTGTGGGATATTTGCAGCATGTTAATAAAAATACAATATGCCATGAGCTGAAATGACCGCCTACTAATTGATAGCCTGGTAACAAGTTACATATCCATTAGATATATCGAGACATCCATGGTTTAATCTTTAAGGGAACGTACACGCCGTACTAATTACTTAACAAAGAATTTAATACATTTTTATTTCTGAAGAGCTATTGTTGCTGTTTAACTGCTAATTACACTCATTTGCAAAGTTTTTTTAACAGGTAAACTTGCCATTAATTCGGAAGCAATTACGTCATTATAACGTATTTTATGCTGTAAACTATCACCCGCTGAAATATAACGGAAGGGTGATGTCATTGCTTTTCTTGCTTCCATTAGAGCGTACAGTTCCGTGACAACTTTTCATTTTTGTCAGCAATCAAAAATGAAGCGCTTTTCTGGATATTTAAATTTGTTTTGATTGTATCCGACTTGGACTGGTTTGGTCGGTCTAGGTTTGATGAATTTTTCCTATTGTTTGGTTGGATCACAGTGCGAAAACAATCGGAAGTGATAATTTGCTAGATATTGAATATTTTGCTGGATATTGAATATTGAATATTTTTTTGGAGATGCCTGTGATTTGTGGTCCGAAGTGCTCAGCTTGCTGTGCTGTTCTCAGTGGATGGGGCATCATTATGCTGGTCTTTTTTAAATACTTGTTTTTAAATTTAAACTTTTTATTTAAAATTCTATTTTTATAAATTATAATTGACAAGGCAATTTTCAAGTTTAGGTTCCCAAATTCCTATGTAGTGACATAAATAAAATGTTTGTTGCAATTATTTGTTTTTGATTTATTACTGAGAGAGTCAGTAGGTTAATGAAAAATGATGGAGGGCGAGGCAAGACGAGGAGGAATGTGTTCTTGATCATGAGAGCTCATGTGGTCTTGACCATATTTGCAGCATATGTTGTCAGGTTCACATATTATTTCAGGTGGTTGGGTATCATATGCTAACATCGGTAGAATATAAGGTGAAATATGTTGTGAAATATGAAATATGTTGTGATACAGTAGCAGAATTTTATAGATCCCAATGAAATGACGCAAAAGTTTACACACAGAATATTGAGAATGTATAGAGCCGGTCTAAAAGAAAGATTTGTCATTGAAATGACTTGGGAAAAACTAGCAAACATTCAGTATTAAACATTCAATTATAATCTATTTTGGAAGAATAACAAGTATAGTAAATTGAATGTTTTTATGAAATAATAAATAATTTTAAGTTTATAATGATATTTAATAATAATTATTAGTTGGTAGTGTCAGGGTTAGAGTTAAGGTTGGGGGTTAGGGAATGTTTGCTGACTTAGACAAGTCCAAAATAAAACATCAAGGAAGCTCTATTTCTATCTTATATGCATGAATATATTATTATTCTTTAAAAACAAGCTAAGACAAATTGACATGTTTTCTAGTATTATGTCCACAATTAATGACAAATATCCACTGTGACATGACCCATAGGGGAGAACACTTCATTAGACATTTCTTTAGAACATTTTGTTAATATTTAGTTACTCTCTGTGTTCATATTTAATTTTTAATAATTGTAAGAATATGGGTACCTAAACTAGAAGAATCAAGAAATAATAACTCAAAAATTTAGATCTACACAAATTTTTATTAAAAAAAAAGAAATTATAAGTGCTTCTTTGCATAGTTTTTTTTGGCAAGAGAGAAAAGATTTTTCTTGGCATATAAATGCACTACAAAAACATTAATAACTATTGACTAATCTAATACTAATGTGATTAACCCTGACCCAAAACTTTTTGTGTGATTGTAATCATTGAAATAAAATAAGCAATAAGGATTGTGCTGTAATCATGGTTGTGCATCGAGCATAAGTTTTAAAAAACCTGTGCAAATCTTTAACCGGCAGCAGATCTTTTATGTTTTTAAATTTCTGATTTTTTAAGCTCATTACAAAAAACTTTACTTTTGTACTCATTATTTTAAACTGGTTTTATTTAAACTAGTGTAGTTTTATTGCAGATTTATACCGAGTAGAAGTTGCTTGCTAGATTTTATGACTTTTTCACAATCATCACTATGGAATTTTGATACATATTATAAGCATGAGGCTATGTCTGTTGTAAATATTTTGAAAAAAAGTTATGCTAATTTGTCGGTAGTAAATACTGATGCATATATTATGAAAATTTATTGGGTCCACCTGCACAGTAAATAAATGCTGCACCTTCTTTTACTTTGTCTGCAGTAGACAAACATTTACAGCATCTTTAGCAACTTTTCAACAGTTCAGTAGATTTATCCATATTATATTTATAATGTTTCAAATTTAATACTCAAACCACCAAGCATTTTTCTTGTCCATTTGTGGTCATCCATTATACACTATGGCACGTCATTCACGTGCCATAGATTGTTTCTCTTATAAATATTATTATTGAATGGGTGCTGGTGCTGAGGCGAGTGACAGATGTGGATGGCGTCGAGGGATATTTCGGTTTCATCATAGGTAGCCAAACGGCAACCCCTGATCTCGGGGAAAATGTCGTCTAAACGTGTGTTGTTTGTTGTTGTTGCTGGTGCTATTTTTTGAATAAAGTATGTAATGGAAAAAATACAATAGGGCCATTCCAGTCTATAATTTCATGAACACAACTAATTTGTTTGATAACATTTCACTTCTTCAACTCATCATCAATTGGCAGACTTTTTAGTCGCAACAATATTCACCCACAAATTCTTATCAGTTGAATGTTCATTGTCAAGATCCAGGTACTCAAGGTATTTGCAAACCTTCGTTCTGTAGGAGATATGATGTCTGGCTTTTTTATTTGTTCCCACATTCGATTGATAAAGAACATAGATGTTTGCTAATTCAATTCTATCCATTCGAAGACAGTGTCCCACAAATTGCAACTGTCTTGACTTGATTAACTTGCTGATTGGGGCTAAGATAACTAATCTTTAACTACTATCATATTATATAATAAGCGATGATTTAAAGCCAAGATCAGTGGCGTCTCTAGGGCTGTTGTTGCCGGCTTTATACTTGTTGCGTTTTAAAAAATTAAATGCAATTTTGCTGGAAATTGTTAAAAAACGCTTAATTTTGTGGATTATTTATTGTAATTTTGACATAGCTTTTGTTGTTTCGTAGTTCTGCTTTAATTTGTCTAATTTTGGGTATTATTTCCGATATTTTTGCCATTTTTTCGATGTTGGCTAGGACACCCGGGCATTTTTATAATTCGGTGACAATATATTGTAATTTAAATTAGTTTTTTCATAAAGTTAACGTTGTTATCTCATTTTTATGGCTAAATTGGTAAAAAAAGGTTTTCTTTCATATTCAAGGGAATTATTGTTATGCTGCAACATAAGTGGTAAAGTTGAACGAACAGTTAGAGTTAGATTATTTAGGTATGGCGTCTGGAAACTCAGACAAATTCGTTTAATTGAAGAAAAAAATTTCGTTAATTGTCATCGCCGTTTAAAAGTCGGTCTTATAAATTCCAGGTCCGTATGTGGGAAAGCAACGAAGATTTTTTATCAATTATCAACGATGATAAACAGGATATATTGATATGACATGACATAAATCTCAGGATGACTGGGCACTGCAGATGTACATTTTTTTTACATTCCAACTCGTTTTTTCGTTTGGATGCGCCACGCACAGATTTCGACGGCTAGGTAAGGAGAGGTGATAGTTCAGCCATAATTTACAATGAAGTAAAGTTCAGGTTAAAACATTATGAACTTGGTTGTCGATTTGAAATATTTGAAGTACTGACTACTGGTCTGTCTGCTTAAAGTAAGATTAACTCGAATGCTGTGTATGGCAATTTATGATGATTCATTCGGAATCGAAATATGGCCTTATTTGCAGCATGAATTTGGAAAATAAGTTTACTTTGAATTTTAATAAACTAAACGTTCTCCACAAAACTTTAGTGAGAAAAATCGATAAAACGAACTACAAACATATTAACGTCAAACATTCGGTAGAATTTACAGAATATTGTTTAAAATTTGTGTATATCGGCTTTTTGAAGGCTCCCTTTTAATCTGAGGCTCGGGGCGGTCCGCCCCCTCGGTACGCTAGTGGCGAAGATTAGTATACATTTATAATTGGATTTATACATGTATATTGTAGTTTATACATGTATATTATACATGTATGCATATAATTTTTATAAAATTATTAGTCTTAATGGCCTTTATCTGTTAAATCCAAATCAAAGCACATGCTTATAAATATTATTAAAAATATAGTTATGAAAAAATAGTTACAATTTTTTAAAGTAATGTCAGTGATACAAACCTTGTTATGATAATTTTTTAAAAATAGAGTTTGGGCATCCTAGGCTTGGGAAGCATCTGAAATTTTACTTATAACATGAATGTGGTGAGAATTTGGCTGAATCTAATGCCCATATCAAAAACAAAAATTAAAATCAATTAAAAAATTTATAATTTTATAAAAATTATAAAATCATTCATTAAAGCTCTTTTATGAATTGGATAATGTTGTTCCACATCAGGCACTTCTTGGAGTATTTTTCTACATAAGATCACCGATTTTGTCAGAAGATTTGCCAATTAATGAAAAAGATTGGGAAAATCGAAATTTTTCTTATGGCTACATAAAAGATTTGTATGAACAAAACGCTTTCAATTGTTGGATAGCTGCTGGATTGTATGCAGTCACATTTATAATATCAGTCATCATGATAAAGGTTAATCAGAAACGAAATTATGCATCCACTTAAGTGGAAGTTGACACCTTGTAACATGTACACATTTCAACAATACTTCATTCTTCTGCAAAACGTTTATTTATATTTAGTAAATGTTTATTTATTACCCAAAAATCAACTGAAACTATCTGACTAACATGATTTTTCATAACATTATTTGCACATTGTTCTTATCCCACCATTCCGCTAGACGCTCATGACTATTGAAGGTCTAACGAGAATGCACTGTTTACTTGTTTTATTTATTCGATTATGTGAAAAAACTTAATGCTGTTTATTTATTTATTTATTTGATTTTCAGATTTTTATTATGCAAATACCTGTCAAATTTACGCCCACAATGATTCATACACTTAAAATTAAATTAAAATTTTTGTTAGTATATTGGAAACAAGTGTGCGCCAGTCTTAACAATCATAGCAGTTCTGGAATAGTTCAAATTTTTAACTAGATCGCAAATCTTATGTCGATAAACTTCGTAGGTTATGTTAAGCTTTATTTATAGATGGAAAAGGGCACTGTGGTCTGGAAGCATTGCCTGCAACTAAACATGATCGAGTTAATATTTCAGAAATTACATGGCTGTGGTGTTATTTCCACAATAAAACTGGTTTTGTTAAATTTCTGAGTTATATTTAGTATTTTTTTCAAAAGTGTCTATTCTCGTGATACAAAAGGAAATGTTATACGAATTTTAAAATTTACACGAATACCAGACGATATTATATTAAAAACTGTTAGGTTGAAGAAATACTGCGGGCAAATTTAAAAAAAAAATATGTGGTAATTTGAGGTAGGCAACAAGTGGCGGATCTAGAAGGGCTGTTGTGAGCAGTATTAAGGCAGTGAAACTCAGTTTTTAGACAGGAAAACACTGCAGGTACAAAATGAACCAAAAATTGACAGGATATTAAGTAAACGTCGCCAAACTAATGCCGGCCACACTAACAAATACTTTGTGAACTTCTTGGTACCCCGCAAATTTTAAAAAATTTCAACATTTTTCATATATCGTCAGAATGAAAGCATAATTATTGAACAAGTGACAGATCAATTTTGTTTAGATATATAGTTTTCTAAATCGATGCATCTTTCGCTGAGCTGTTTTTTAGTTTAATCATCACTTAAGCATTTTAACTTAAAAATTAATTTAGTTTTTATCACTGTGATTGAACTTGGGTTAAAATATATTTAACTGTGAGCACCTTGGATGCGGATCCGTACGAATCCATCACTTAGATCCGGATTCCGATGCCACGAATCTTGATTTCTTATATCTGCCTAATTATTAAAATTGAAGAACTTGGTCTGTCGGTGAGGAAAGCCAGACCCAGGCAGCTACATTTCACAAACACTACTTCCAGTCAGGTTATAAATTCGGCTTACATTCTTACTCTTTTATCGGCTTAAACTGGTCTATCTTTGGATATTGCAGCTTGAATTTTCATGGTACAGACCTTTTTTTTTAGTTAATCCCATGGATCTTAGATATATTATATACAACCATGGATATGTTGAAGATATCCACAGTTAATTCTCCATAAGTCAACACTGATTTCAACTATCATATTCTTAAATATAAATAAGTCCGAATTGCTAATAAACTATTACAAATATGTAAACATTCATTCAAATTATATCTATACAAGAGTAATTTCATTTATTTTAAATTTGCATCCATAAGATTATCAAGTTCGAATTTTTTTACAAATCATTTAGATGGCGTTCAAAACCTATGCATATATTTTAACAGAGCTGTTACTATAATTTATATCACATAATTTCGTTCTCCGTATAAAATAAAGTTAATAATAAAAAAGATTCGCCTAAATAATCATAATTATTTTCTTTATGTAATGGACCACATGAATTAGTAAAAAGTAACACAACAAGACATAATTAAGAGCCAAATTCCATTGTTTCATCTGTTATGGGCTTGAAAGTGAACGATCCACGACCATCCATATGCAAATAGTACTGAAATTAAGAAGAAGCAATTAAAACTCGCCATACATCAAATATAAATTTGTATTAATGTTTTACTTTTTAAACACACAATGTAAAATAAAATCAGAGCCTAACAAAGTTATTGCAATGAGGAAAGTGAAAAGGCGATGAGAAATAGTACAGAAGTAGATGGATGTAAAGAATCCAACAAGGAGACTGGTCAAACGCTCAAAAAATCAACAGAAAACTCAATTTTATATCTAAAAACTATGAATACTATGTTCATTGAATACACATGCTGTTATATAAAAGGCAGAGAAGACAAATGGAAGGAACCAAACTGAAATGCAAAAAAGAACCTGCTTAAAAAAATATAGAATGTTGTCCTGCGTTGTTGTGGAACACTGTTGTATCCTTGAAGTGACGTTTTTAGATAGATTATACGTACATAATGGTGGGATCTAACTGCAGAGATCGGATTGGACAACAGAAAGAAACGAAAAAAAAGTTGAAGAAGAATCTTTATAATCGAAAAAAGAATGAAAAAAAAACTCAAATCAAACAAACTATAGGTAACAAAGCAATACAGATTCATACTTCATGATGTTTCCACAGGGACTTGCGGTGTGATACTGTGAATAACGTTATGCCAACCTGCAAGTTCATTAATTTTGATACATCTAAAATATCTGGAAAAGTTTTGACAACGATCTACACGAACTATACGACAGACTGCTATTTAAAATAAGTATTTTCCGTAATTTTTGAAATTGTAAAATTTTAGTGAAATGTCGACAGTTTTAAAATTAATAAAATTTTGAGCAATGAAAAGCTCTATAATTTGAGAACACAGTCAGAGCGTGCTATTTCATGGATAGACAAGAGTTAATAAACATAATACTATTGACTTTTTTTCGTTGTTTTTTTTTGGCATTATTAAATATATTTCATTCATAAAATTATGTTTTAAATACTGCTTACTTGTTTATTATCACATAAATTAAAAACATAATTTTTTTATGCGTCGACCCCAAATGCTGATGATTCCAATATGAGAAGCAAACTGGTCGGAGTCGGAAAAAAAATTTCGTTTGCATCATAATTTCATCTAAATACCACTACTAAATGAAAACACTTAAAATGAGTCAATGTAATTTTTTTCTTAGTCAAATTACTTTATACTTATGTTTTAAGACATACACTGAAACCGTTATGTTGTTTTATTCACATCATTAGAATCTATTTTCAATATTAAAAATGACTGCATATTGCTGCACACACATCTAAAAAACGCGAGCCTGAAAACATTTTTAGAATGGAAAATAAAAAAAATCAAATTCTCATCACTTCCCGAAGTCGGATGAAAAATATCCGTCTAGGGTTCCTTTAAAATTTCAAATTCGAGGCCGACAAAAACTTCCGACTCAGAAAATCTGATGAAAAGTCACAAAATAAAATTTATAATGAAAAAGACTGATGCTACAAACTGTGTATGCGCAAAAAGTTGTTTAAGGAGGTCAACCAATTTGATTTAAATGCATTGAAACAGGAACAAAATCCTGTACTAACACAATTAGAGAATAGCAAAAAAATTTGATAAAAAAGAGTGAATGATATGAAGGCAAAAACATGCCCCTATCTGAAACGAACCTGTCTACAATGTTGGTACATGAACCCTTCCACGTCGACACTGACGGCGCTGGTGCATTCATCCAATATTGCAAACTGCGGACAATGATAGAACAGTCTTGCCATCTGAATCGTGTGTTGACAATAAATTGCTTGTATGAGTTTATTTAAAATACCATAAATAAGTGCAATGCTATAATTACGATGCTTGCCTGCAAAAGTTGAATGAGGTAAGAGGAGAGTGATTAAGTTGAAGCCTTACATAAATAAATAGTCCATTTACGAAAGACTACTTGCGAGAATAATCCATTTAAGTGAGACCACAATTATAGTTAATCAAACGAAGGCCGAAGACGGTTGTTGAAAAAAAGGGAAAGTATTGTTGTACAGTCATTAATAAAGTGTGGTTGTATATTATGAAAGTGAACGGGACTACGGATTATGGTTATTATGGATTACAACGAACGTATAACCGTTGGTAGTTATTTAATTATTAATAGCGAAAGATTGATGACCATATACTCACAGCTATTCTTTGTTTCTCCCCTCCACTCAGGACATCCATCCAATCCTGCACAGAATCCCATCCACCTTCCCTCTCCAAGATGTATGACAGCTGCACCTATTCAGAGTTTTAAGGGAACAAAAATGTTTTACTATATTTGTGCAATTCACCAACAAAACTAATGCGCATAAACGTTATGAAATCAAAATGAAAGGAATCAAATAAAAGAAACTTTTGTGAGAATGTCCTCCAAATCAGTGTCCTTCAGACCTTTCCCGTTCATCTCATCCTTTAAATGTGGATAAATAATCTGGTCCCTTAATGTTCCGACGGTCATGTATGGCCGCTGAAAGAAATCATTTAACTTTGTGGTACCGGAACAAATAACTTTTTAATGTTGGGAATTAACTGAACTAGCAAGAATACGGATCACGACTAAACCAACAGAACAATATTATGATTTGAAAAAATTTAAAATTGAGTGATTTTATTTAAACAAAACGTACTTGAGGAATGTAGAAAAGTTGTCTGTTGTCAGGTTTTGTCAATTTGCCCCCAAAAAGTGGCCAAAGCTTTGACAAATGATCAAATAAACAGGTTACCAATGTTATCAAAAAAAGGTTATCAATAATTTCAAAATAATTCAACAAATATCGTCAAGATTTAAAACAAATTGAAGGTTTTAAACTTAAAACAATTTTCTATTAATTGCTGGAACTGCAAAATTAATATCAGCCTCTTCAAAACGAAAATCTTACAACTTGAACTACGCTGGGCAATGAAAATTTTTTTTACTAACTTAGTATCCTTACATTCAAGCTAATCAAATCTGTTAAATCAGTTTTCTTTACTGGAAAAAGTTACAGAACGAAATAAAATTTTATTAATTATTTTTTTTTTAATTTGATTTCTTTGCATTTTACTAACATTATAAAATCATAATTAACAATATCAACAATTGATAAGTGATTAAAAATTTTTTAAAAACTTTTGACTCATATATATCTGTTTTAAAGTCTATTAAACTAATGTCCGCATTGGCTGGGGACAGCACTTAACAAGAATGTACTCCATTTGTAATTGAGTACCAGTTATGATGTTTCAATTATTTGAAGCCTGCACTTGTCGAACCTGAAATTTCACTTTCCACTTACTCTTGAAAATGTACACTTACTTTTTTAATATAAACAAAGCTTTACATCAAGTACCATGATAAAAATTCAAGTATACAATTTTAAATCCTTAATTTTGTTGAAGGATGCTTCAGGGGTCCGGAGATTTTGGCCTCCACAATAAGGGTATTTCAAAATGAAAATCATAAGTAATTATTAACACAACTAAACAATAGCGTGAAATTTATGTAATGTAATTAATTAATAATACCATTTAATAGCACACGCAATACTGAAGAACATAAATAATTATACCCCTCCTAAAATTCTGAACAAAGAACTTTTTCCACATCCATTCGGTCCGCAAACGAGGACATTCATACCTGATCTCACCTGTATTGTGTTCATCATTTTCTTCTTTACTATCAAAATAAGCCAGTAAAATATTACTGATTACTTAGATTCCTTTAAAAAATTGTTCGCATCAATTGACGAATCCAACCACAATCGTATAAAAAAGACATGCATTCAGGAGGCAGTAATAATTCAGCGTTTAATGTGCAACTGTGATTGTAAATCAGCTTTATAGTCACAAACAACAATGCATCGTTCCACAGCTGACAGAGCACTAAATAAAATTATGCAAAAACGAACAATCGTTGATACCTCAAATGATAACTCTCTCACAAGCACATCTCCATTTGGAGTTACCAGAGGTACCTTCTCGAACCTGTTGGAAATGAATAAATTAAATAGAAAATCCAAAAAAGGTTCTTCTGATAATTTTGTGCGATTAAATCCCTTTTTGTTTAGAAAAACGAAAGTTTAGTCAAAAAACAACCTAAGATAAATAAAATAGTTGTGAAAATGATTGTATGAAAATTCCCAACAGAACGTCATGAATTTGAATAAAGTTTGAATGTAAAACATTTGCGACGTGAAAAGTGAACGCACTTGATGATTTTGTCTTTAATTATCAACTCTCCACAACCAGGCACTAAATTAAAATCTGGATCTTTATCTGATGACGGAAATTTTGAAACAAGTGTTATGAGGCACTAGAAAATAATGAGTAGAGTTGAATTTATAAACTTTTTTTAAAGTCGGTAATCAAATAAACAACGGTATGGAATGTTTCGCAAATATGAATCAGCTCATACTTCCTCCATTACTAGCACTGCCGACCATGGTCCTCTCATATTTGCCACAATTCAAATCGTCCAGGACGTTCATGAACTCTGTCACTCTTGATGTGAAGCTTCAACGAAAAAACACGTCACCGAATAAATATTAAATGCTCAATATAAAAAACATGCCATTACAAAATTAATACGGCCATTTACATTTTTACTTAAAAATGTCTGCCTGAAACTCTGAATGAAACCATCATTGAATGTGCGTTCAAAATGAATATCGAAAATGCTGATTTTTTGTAGAATTTAAATGAAAAATCTTGTCACACTTCACACCAAAGAGCAAGTAGAAGTTGATAATGAAATGATTGATGATGGTGATAAGAATGACCAACCCAGCCAATCTTGTGAGTTCCCGACCGGCCAAGACAACTCGGCCTATAGCCTCGGCCATCTTCACTAACATCCTACCACTCTCATAATAATCCTTTTTTGTACAAATCATTAAAAATAATAATTAGATTGCTGGTTTATCAATATCTGATCGTACAACGTTATTTGTGACGTAGATATATACAAAAATTGAATCAATCTCTCCTGGAAATTACAATTGATAGAGACCACCATCGCATAACGTACTAAAACATATGCGTGCACATGAAAACTTCAACACACACAGGCAGAGTGTGATGGCGCTAGTTCAATCTATTACGCCTTCGAACAAGGTTATTGGGCAAGTAAATTGAAAGCTAGAAGCTGGATACAGGATTAAGTATTTTTGCAGAAACAAAGTTAACAAATTAAATGAAACTTTCAAAGGTTTCACGAACTTGCAATCTTTCTGAATGCGAAGAGTTGGCATGTCGAGGATTCAGGAGGTCAAGGAAGGGCCTGCTGACGACGTAGTAACCGACCACCGTGGCTACGTCTGAGCAGCATATTAAACATTTCCATTCAAGTTCTCACAAATTTTTATTAAAAGATTAAACATCATTAAAAACGAAGTGAGTATGATGTACATAAAAATAATATTAAACGTCACAGAACAAATTGTTCCCTGTTGTCCCTGCCTGCATAAAAATAACGTGATTTTTTTTGTAGTCTTTATTATTGCAGCTCTGACATAAGCAGAACTACTTACAATGTTACATATATATCATCTATATCTTTATTATGTTCTTCAAATCTTCATCCGATGATTTGAAGCAGCCATCTTTGCCACAAAGGCTGTTTATCCTTTTCACACGACGTACACATGTATTTATGTGCACGCGCAAGCACCGCATCATATACGCTGAGTATATGATAGCCAAAAGTTCCTAGAAGATATCAAAAAACCCCATTAACTGTTCGCTGTTTATCAGTTTTAAATATAACAAAATAATATTCATATGAAATGCTGTTTGAAAAGATGATCAACTAACATTTAGCGATGATGTTGTCTACTAGACCCATCGTAAATCTGAAGAAGATTAGGTTTCTCAAGTGATTCACCTGTCATTAACAAAGTTTTTATGAAAATGTATCAAGATAATAAAATTCGTTGAAATGAAAATCATTAGAAATTATTATTTCAAAACTGTGCAGTCGTCAAGAAATCTAAACCATTGAAGCAATTTTAACTCAATTCGAAACAATTAAAAACCATGCATCGAGTACATATTCAAGAAATTCAAAGTGAATTCAAATTAAATTGAAATATTCGATCAAAAAACTTCTTAAAAGTAAAAAATAACTGAGTACAAAGTGATGAATAGGTGCGCTAAGACGAACCAATCTTTGCAAAGCAGCATTTATGATCGATTGTTCCTTCCTATTCCCCTGATAGAATGCCACTTCTTCACTACGAGCGCCATGTTTGTAAAAAATTATAAAGTCTAATGATCAGAATATCATAAAAAATAGATAAAATGTAAACAAAAGAGAGGCAATAACAAGATTGATAGAGAACGAAGTACCGAAGTGCGAAAAAGAGAGATGGTGGTACCTGTTAGTGATGAGCCTTGAATTGACATACCTCAGCTCCCCCTCCAACTTCTGCTCCAACACTGTCAACTTTCCTATGGGCCTTCTTAGTCTTAAATATGTTCAACAGTGTACAGCGTCAATCATGAAGAGAGTGAAGAGTGTCATAGACAAATAATTAACAACTTCTCAATAAATTATTTCTATTTGTAATTGTTTGGCTGAAAGAACGATCGACACAACGAACATATTTACATATAGAACTTAATGCAATGAAAAATATTGAAACAAGATACTAAACCTCGTCAAGATTAATCCAGAGATGACTAAATAACCCAGCATAAACAGTGGACCCTGGAAAACATTCACATCAAAATGAATGAATTACAAACATTCGCATCAACATAAACTACATTACAAACATTTACATTACAATGAATTGTAATGTACAGTTGTACAGAAGCAAAAATACCTGTGCTCCAATACTGCCAGTCAACTTCAGTGCATATATGATGATGTCCAGGAGGGCTAATTAAAATAATTCAACTTAATAAGAAGATTCAACTAACTACAATAATATTACGTAACATGAAAAATTTATAAACATGCATAAACATTTCCACGTTTAGGTTTTAAAAACGAAGAGCCTCTGTAACTATTCATTCCCACTAATTAATGATAATTAACAATTTTTTGTGATCGGAGTTGATTTTACTTTTAAATTGTCAAAATCTTTTAATTTTCATCTGCTTGCTTGCGCTTCAGAAAAATCAGAGGCGGTCTAATGATGTTGTTTACAATGATGCATTTCAAAGATAATAAAGCTTATCAGAAGCGACAGTATCAAATAGTGGGTCGAGGGTTAATCGATGAAACTGACGACTAATTCAATCAATCAATCAATCTTCGTTTTGCGTCCAGAGACCCGGTTTCCCGAGGTAGGACGTTGTTTTCTTTGCCATCAACTTTTTGCGCCAAATTAGACGATCAGTTGTATCCATTTCATTTAAATTTAGAGCTTTCATGTCTTGCTCGATTGTTTGCGACCAGGATTTCTTTGGACGGCCTTTGGGACGTGTGCCAGGTACTTCAACATCTGCAAGAGAAGTTATGGTACTGTTTCCACTTCGTTTGACATGACCAAACCACCGCAGACGGTGTTGCCGGCATTCGTCCTTTATATCATCTAAACCAGCACGACGCAGGATTTCGGTAGATTTGATGTGGTCCTTCAGACTAATTCGTTGCATCCATCGGAGCATTTTCATGTCGGTTCGTTGAAGTTATTGTTCCAGTTTGGTTGCCATTGGCCATGTTTCTGCACCATATAACAACACCGGACGATCACAGATT